GCTTATTAGGCCATGCTGAGGTGGCATCCCACATGCCACAACTAGAAGGACCCACAATATACAACTATGTACTGGGGGGATTTGGGGAGAAAAAGCAGAAAAAAAAAAAAAAAAGAAGATTGGCAACAGTTGTTAGCTCAGGTGCCAATCTTTAAAAGAAAGCAAAAAGACAAAAGCCCATCCTGTGGCATAGGCCTCATGACAGTTTACGGGGTGGTTAAAGAAACAGAACCACAGTAGAGTTATGTGCTGGGGCAAAATATCAGAAAAAACAATTTATATTTAAATTTACTATTCTGTATATCAAATGCCTATCGGCTGAACAAAACTGTATTCAACAATTCATATTCTATAACTGCACTCAATTAATATAAAAATCTAGATAGCAAGATTTATAGTTGAACCTGAGTTCCTAAGGCTGGTATCACACATCATTCCCTGATGGAGAATTCATCAGCACAAGACGTAGAGCCAAACTGAGAGTTGGATTTAAAGTACCTTTCCCTGCTGTGTGTGTAAGTAACACACTGTGAAGTGACCTAAAGGATTTTTCATGTTACTCAGTTTTCTTTTCTGAGCAGACTACCATAGCCCAATGACTTTAAAAAACCAAACTCCAAAATTCACCCTGATAGCCTTAATAAGGGCAGTTGGATCACAAAGATAGAAAAGGTCGTCTTAGCCAATAACGGGAAAAGGTATCATCTGCTGCCCCTCTGCCACAGTTCAAGGATGACTAAGGCCAACCATGAGGCTTACCACCAGCACCTTAAAATAATAATTGGTTGTACATACTTTGTTATACTCATATGTGGAAATGGGAGAGAGCAAGCTATAACAACACTGGGGTGGGGGCAAAGGAAAGCCTGAAAATGTAGAACCTACAACATCTCCTCAAAAATTCTTATGAATGCTATGACCCCAAGGTCAAATTTAAGCCAGTAGGAACAGAGCTGGAATTCCAAAACCTCTGGACAAAAGGGCTAATAATAAAAACTGCAGCTGATTTTATGCACCAGGAATGAAACGTTATAACATATCTATCATTCACATGTGGGTTCATGTAATTTATCTTCAATTAGAATTATTATCTATTCAGCAGCTGAAGCCTGAGAACTGCTGATACACTGCAGATGAGAAAACACTTGCTTGTCTCTCGGCTCTGGCCTTTCTTAAGCTAAATGATGATCACACAATATAGATCACTTGTTCTATAAAACAACTTTGGCTTATGTGTGTGGTAAGCTGCACTGCCAGCATTTACATTTGCAACATCACTTCCTTCCCTTTCGTAGACTCGAGAGGTTCCATTGCTTCTAGAGTTCAGTCCCAAATTCACGTAAAAAAATTACAAAACTTTTTAATCCAGGATTTTTTCCTCTGAAATGAGTTAATATAGCTATTTTAAAAAACCCAGATATTGAAAATATTTGAATCCCAAAGATATAATTTAAAGTAACTTTGACAATATTTATAATTAAGTACTTTATCTCAACACAATCTTGACTTCCAAGGTTGTCAAGCCAGTGTCTAAAACATTCTAACTTAATTCTAACATTAATGGGAGTGGTATCTGTCTGAGCTCATGTTTAACAGTTTACACTGCCAAATCAATAGAGAAAAATACAACCTAGAAATCAAGGTGGCATTCTCCACCACAGTGTTTTCAAAAGTATGTTCAATGAGAAGTCAATAAGTATTTAATTTAAAAAACAGGTTCCATCTTTAGATAAGGATACATTCAACCTGGCTTCAAAGGAATTCTTAGAACCTTTAATACGCCAATAGGCAGGTTTGCAAAGTCGCAACATTATTTGGCCACAGAACCTTTTATCCCCTCAAGCATCTCAGGAATAAGGCTCCAGAGAGCAAGTCCTGAGAAACACAGCTCTGGCACTTGGGTGTATTCAGAAGCTTCATTAATTCTCCAGGCTATGAGAAATCAGTCTACTTCTTAAAATTAACACAAATAATCATTATAGCCAATATGTCTGGAATTTCAGACTCAGAAGTGAGGATGTGCACAGGGAGCGGGCAACACACTAGTTTATCATTATCATGCTACATCACCTTCACCTCCCTAGCAAAAATATGTTCAAAAATACCCACGTTAACCATTCTTGATGATGGCCATGCACAACACCTGAACAAACTAACCAATATACAACAGCTGCTTGAAACAAAAACAGTCAAAGTTTTCACTTGCCCAAATGGAAAAATGCACAAGTGTCATATAAAACAATTTATAATTACATGTTTAGAACTGATAACCCTGGTTATCACTTTGGAGTCTATACACTGTCTAGTTTCATAACATTTATAGAGCTATCTTCTTGGAAGCACTACTGAATAATTGAAGTTGCTATGGAAAATTTCTTTTTACTTGAGGAGTTCATTTACTTTAGAGCAGGGTTTTTTAATCTCAACCTCAGCACTAAAGAGATTTGGGTTGGATAATTCTTTGTTTTGGGAACTTGTCCATTGTAGGATGTTGAGCAGCACCCTGGCCTCCACCCACTAGATGTCATTAGCATCCCAGTAATTCTGACAACCAAAAATGGCCCCAGATGTTGCTTACATGTAACTGTAGGGGAGGTGGACATTTCCTCTCCCCAAATGTGGGTTCGTCTGGCCAGAGAATGAATTAAATTCACATGAGACAGAATAGCAAAAGAAAATTAAACAAAGCTTTATGAGGAACCATGGCCCGGGGCCTTTCTTCCCGAAGGAAGAAAGGGCACCAAAGAAGTGGGGTGCACATAGTGGTTATATACCCCCAAACAGGGTGTTTCACATGTGATTGAAATGTCCCTCCCACAATAGTCACAAGATTGCCCTGTCGGCACAGCGCTTGATGGACACAGCATGTAGTGGTCGGCTATCTCGGTGGGCGTAGCAGGAGGCTAGTCGATTGTCCGGAGCTGGGTGGTCACAGGTGAGCACAGCAATCAGTTCCTAGTCTAAAGAAAGATGCTTAATCCTTAAAGAAATGCCAAAGTTGCGAGGGGCAGGGAAGTCAGTTACAGGAGGTTACCAGACTAGCACAATAAAATGCAGATTTAAGTCTTTGCCTTTGGCATTGATTAACAGCTTCCAGAGAGAAGGCCATCTCCTTTCTTCTTCCTGGTACAGAGAGGGAGGCACCCCCTACAGATAGAGATTTACCCTACAAATGCAAAGGTGTCCCAACAAAGGGCAAATTCCATTCCTCAGAGCCTCCTTCCCTGTCCCAGTTTATCAAAAGCAATCAGCCTCAAATAATCCTGATGCCAAAGAGACATATCTTGGGGTGGCCAATTTCAGGTCCCCACATAAGCAAAGCAACCCCAGTTGAGAACCACTGCTGTTGAGTGAAAAGTAAAGCTCACACCTTGTCTCTCTTCCCTGGGAAATGCCTGCTTCACAGGCATACTGGGACTGACACACACCAACAAACACCTAGTGACTGGTAGCATTAGAGATCCTTCTAAATTCTGTGAGATCAGAAACATAAGTAATTTGTGAATGGTAGAGAGAATGGTTAGGAGGAAGCAGTCTACACATTTCAAAGAGAATTAGAGGTAATTTTACTGTCATATTCGTAAGAATTATCTGAATCATAATGCTGAATTGACAAATGTTCTAACAATTAGAAAAACGCTAATTGTATATTATAATCTGTTCAGGATCATCATGATTGAGGCAGTCTAAGAACAAAAAACATAACAATCATCAACAGCTAGCTCAGACCATATTCAGTTCCTGACCAAGTATTCTTCATGAAATTCCAATTCAAAAATCTCAAGTCTTGTCTTTAAACTGCTTTTTGTACAGCAGCCTCATCATTTCTCTCAAATTATTAAAAAAAAAAAACCCTCACATGTCATGAAGCAGCAGCCTGGTATGTATCAAGAAGTACATTATCTAGTTTTAAAGCCATTTCTTCATTATCCACATCCTCAGTTTTGTCATAACTGTCAATTCCAGATACATCACTCTCTCTATTTTGTTCTTTTCTTATTGTCTTTAAACACTTGTCAAGTCTCTTTATGAACAAGTCCACATCCTGTGTCTTCATTCCGATGGCTGATGCAGCATTGAGGTAAGCACAAGGGTAATTATCTGTATGTGACATAAAGCCTCTGAAAGCGTAGCCACTCACGGTTTGCACAGACCCAAGAGGCACAACTCTGAAAGGGGAAAAGAGTTACCCATTTAACATGTCTGGTAATTTTAACAGAACATCACCATAAACAAAAGATATCTGAGTTACTAAGCCTTAAATCTACTTATCAATAAGTTTAAAAAGAGCCATAACTCATGGCCTATGAAAATAGACTGCGAGTCTTAAAATAAAAATTATACAATACACTGCTAGTTTCCATAAAAAAGTACTGCCTAGTGATTACCATTTACTTTTCTTTTATCAAAGAGCTACAAGCACTAGGAATCACAAACACCTTTACATCTTCTTCAAAGAGGGAGAAGAAAATTATTCCTGTTTTTGTACAAAATATGGAATTTGACTTCACATATACACACTTTAATGGAATACTGAAATTTGTAAGTCAAAGCACTTTAATTAATTGCTGTGTCATCTCAAATAATCAATAAAGGAAAATTACACCTATCTAATCAGTGCTATGCAATGGAGAGTTTCAAAGCAAAGATCCAGAAATTATGTAACTCCTCACAGTGGGGTGGTCATCAGCAATCAGTAATATTCAGCAATGGTACCTGCATTTTTCAGGCTTGATTTCACTGGCATGCTTGATATAAGCAGACTTCTTTTCTTTTCTTTTTTTTTTTTTGAGGAAGATTAGCCCTGAGCTAACTGCTGCCAATCCTCCTCTTTTTGCTGAGGAAGACTGGCCCTGAGCTAACATCCATGCCCATCTTCCTCTACTTTATATGTGGGACGCCTACCACAGCATGGCGTGCCAAGCAGTGCCATGTCTGCACCCGGGATCCGAACTGGCAAACCCCAGGCCGCCAAAGCAGAACGTGCGCACTTAACCGCTGAGCCACCGGGCCGGCCCCAATATAAGCAGATTTCTAGTGGTCCTTTTTTTTTTGTTAAGAAGTCAATTAAGATCAACCTAAACATACAAATAGTGGCAACACCAAAAGCAAGGCTAAGAAAACCATTTGAGAAGTGTCAAAACTATGCTGTAAACAGATATAGTTCATCAAGGGAAAAGCTAAACTAATCTAAGACCTTTTCTTCTAAAAAGTTGTCCTTTGATGTGAAATCTCTAACCTCTGGTACGGAGAAATTCTTGAATAGAAGTATGTAAAGAAGAGTACTTAGAACAACATACTTCTTTTCAAGTCATTTTTCTCTGACCTCATCAAATATAAAATAAAAATCGAAATTCATTTTTAAGCCACGTATATATAAGAGCAAAAAGTACATTTTTCAAAGGCAGTACTTAGACAAAAATTGCATAACCTCTTTAGTTTAGAAAATGAACTTTTCCTTAGAAACATTTTCACTTAAGTTTAGTAATGAAGATGACTTATTTCTAACACCATAACGTGACACTACTGAAGATTATCTAACACAGGAAAATAAAGACAAAAATTTGTACAGAGAGGTTAGGAAACTTTGTTTCTGTGTGTTTATTCAAACAAACAATGCTCCTCTCTTTTGTGACTATCTGAGGCATATGCAGTCCACAGGTGAGTGTGTCACGGCCTTACAGAGTCTCTATCTCATTCTTTTACTCCATGCTGAATTCTCAGGTGTAGTTCCGAGTGTACTTGGTGGACTATTGTTAAGGAAAGGTACTTTATTAGAGTTAACTTTGAAAAGCCAAATAAATCCAAGCCTCTTTTAAACATTCTTACCTGGCTCCAGAAACCTGTCTGGTAAAAAGCATTGAGCCAAGCTGAGTGACAGCTTTTTCACGGTGCTCATCTAGTGTCTTAAGTGTCACAGCTGAAAAAGAAAAAAGCATCCCCATGAGCCTTGGTTCTCCAGCACAAAAATCACTCAAAAAACAAACACTTAATGATGGAGACATTACCTTTTTTATTATTGTGTTAAAATATATACACACATAAAATTTACCATCCTAATCCTTTTTAAGTGTTCAGTTCCGTGGTATTAAACACATTCACATTGCTGTGTATGCATATAACTCTTTCCATCTTGTCAAACTGGAACTCTATACCTATTAAACAGTAACTCACTATTCTCCCTCCCTCCAGCCCGCGGCAACCACCATTCCACTTTCTGTCTCTGTGATTTTGACTACTCTAAGTACCTCATATAAGTGGAATCATATGGTATTTGTCATTTTGTGACCAGCTTATTTCACAGAGACATTACTTTTTATTCATTGTCAAGTGGCATGATTTCACTTTAATGCACTTAATAAATTACAGAAAGGATCTGTTTGCATATCAAACAAAAATATGTTAATGTAAACTAACTCAGAATTGGAACAGAATTTCCATATCACCCTTCCAAAGAGCGAATTTTCTAATTAAGTAGATGGGAAAATGACATGATCAATATGGCAGTTTATTCAAATTCAACCATGTCTTAAGAACTTGTCAAATGAGAACATGGAACATATTTCAGCACATATAGAAGAAAGATCAACTTCTGCATATGGAAATGGAAACTACCTTTCTAAGGTTATGTGGGCAAACTATATTCTACTCATACCACCACCACTAGCTACCATTTCCTGAGAAGTGAGACTCTCCCTAGCAGATACTTCACAAATACACTCTCAACCACTGTTAAATAATTTTGCACGGGAGGGATCACTATCTCTATTTTAGAGATAGGGAAAAGAAGGTGAGAGGCTAGTACATGGCAGAATTGAGATTCAAACCACACCATATCACCTTCTATAACATCTACATGGATTATAAACCAGCAAGGGACTTACTGGGGTGGATTTTATTACATATTGGTGGCCAAATAGTTTTCCATGGAAGCTCATTCCTGAAAAACGCTTCAGTTACAAATGATTGTTTCCTTACTTTACTCAGATATACATGAAATATATCATACTACATATATTCACAAATTAAAAGGGGAAACTATGAAGCTTGGAAGTTAATTAAGTGCATAAAAGTCAACATTCATATTATCCTGTTTAGTAGCTCTTGTACTAAATGACAAAAATACACAGTCTTTATACAGACAAATGAAACTATCATAAATACAGATTTCTCTAACATAGAGACATTTAAGAAAACAAACAATAGCAGCATTAAAAACAATGTAAGAGGGCTGCTCCCGGGGCTGAGTGGTTAAAGCTCTGTGCCCTCCACTTCGGTGGCCTGGGTTCGAAGGTTCGAATCCAGGACATGGACCTACTCCACTCATCAGCCATGCTGCGGAAGCATCCCATACACAAAAACTAGAGGAAGATTGGCACAGATGTTAGGTCAGGGTTAATCTTCCTCAAGCAAAAAAAAGAGGAAGATTGGCAGTGGATGTTAACTCAGGGTGAATCTTCCTCACCAAAAACAAAACAAAACAAAAAATATAAGCATAGCTTCAATTTCTAATATTATGGTGTTAACTGGTAGAAATTTTTAAATATTTATATAGAGTTCTTACTAGTGACCAAATTATTTTGGTTAGAAGCAGGAATTAAAGTATTATTTTCTGTATATTCATTGTAGTCACTATAATACTTAATATTGATTTGGATTCTTTCAGTGTAAAGGTTTTACCTTAGAAATACATTAAAGCATTTCTAAAGGCTAACTAAACTTTTTCAGTTTACAAGTTAATACTATAATCAACTTAGAAATATCATTGTAACCAGAAAGAATTCATACTCTTTCTAGAAATACCAGCTTCCTGCTGGGGATGGTTCAGAAGTACTGATCTTTTTAAAAAGAAAAAATTACCTAAGGATATGGGATTGTGAGGTGTATGCAACAGTCTTTCATTGTAGGCTTCTGACAGCTTCTTCAGTTGGTTGGACAAATATGAAAACATTTCCTGCAACAACAAAATGTTACATTTAAAGAAAATCAAATAAATACTTACTGCAACTTGCCAGATTTAGTGAGACAAAATCTGATTGGTGTGAAGTCTGTGCTGTAAATTAACTCATCCACGTGCCCTAGGAGCAATTCTTTCCTTTGCCACAATATAGAGAGACTCAAAGTTGCCACAATTATCAGAAACTACAGGATTTAGGCAAAGAAGGCAAAGATCCAGCACATTTTCTGCTTTGGGGCTATGTACCTATCACAATTCCATCCTTTCTTCAGACCTCCAGGGCTACTGCTCTAGTCCAAGCAGTCATCAACCTCTTCCCTGGACCACAGCAATAGATTCTAAATGATTTATCTGCCTACTTTCTCACCCCTCTACAATCTGTTCTACACACAGAGGCCAGAGTGATCTTTCAAAAGCATAAATCAGATCATGTCTCTCCCAATGACTTCCTCCTGTAAGTATTAAAAAACCAAACTCTTCATCTATAAGGCCCCACATGATGTGGCCCAGCCAACATGCCCAACTCAGCAACTGTCATTGCCCACACTGACTACGGCATCAGCCTCCTTTCCAAGTGCTGAACATGCCAGCTCATTCAACTGTCAGAACCTTTGTGCCTGCTTCCCCCAGACTCAGAAAGCTCTTCTCCCAGATTATTCCATGAATAGTCCCTTTTGTCACAGACTAAAGAGACCTTCCTTTATTACTTCCCTTTAAAGTAGCTCTCCAACTCTGCCTACTCCCAACTCTCAATCTCCCTCCAACAAGAATATCTATTTTGGTTCCTTCACTGTACTTACCACAATCTGAAATTGTCTCACTTGCTTAAACGAATACTGCCTATGTCGACCTACTAGAATGGAAAAGAGTCCTTGAAAGCAGGGAATTTGTCTTCTTTACCACTATTTTCCCAACACCAAGAAAAATGTGCCAGGATTTTAGCATGTCAGTAACTTAGGAAGAGGTCATTTAAAAATGTTTTTTCCTTAAATCATACGCAGTTAAAACTAACAAATCCCTTAACTCAAATAAAAGAATATAGCAACTAAAAACTAAAAATTGTATTATTGATCCTACTCTGAAAAATAATATATATATAACAGAAAATAAAAATATTTTACAAGCATAAAATTTCATGTGCACATGTAAGTAGAAGTTTAACAAAGTTACAAATATATATTAAGTTGGCAACTGTTTGACCTAAAGTTCTATTTTCTTCTCCTAGTAAGTCTTTTAAAAAGTTTTGAAATGAAAATCTGCCCAAGTAAGTCTGCCCCTGAACAAACCCATTTTGTGCTGACCTCCTCTAGCCATAGTCAAAACATATAAACGCTAAAGATACACCAAAGAGCCAAGGGCCAACAGAGTACCCAAGTGGAGACAGCAGGAAATGATACTTCTTTAACTTCAAAGGTGACAAAAGCTGCTTCATTTTTCTCTAAGGTAAGGGTTAGATAATCTGATCCCACACTGGGACCCAGAGTAGCTTTTTCATGTCTAAAGCACATAGATAACTAACTCCATCTTTTGTTAGTAAAGATTAAGAGGAAAATTCCTACCAAGTTTATGAATTATTAATGAATCTACTTAAGACCACAAACATTTTTACCCTGTCAACACAGTATATTTTATATTCCAACCTGAAAAATTTATAAATAGTCATTCTTAAACTTTTAGGACATTTTGTAAGATCAATTCTCAGCATGTAAGAATTATGAAATCTTAGATCACTAAAATAAATTCTTTTTATATTCAGAGTTAACATCCACATTTGTCATACCTAATGAAGCTACGAGTAAATGTTACTGTTACATGTGATAAGCTTTCTCTTTCATAATTAAAAATATGTGTAGAGAAACATTTAAGGAGGCAATTTTATCAACATTTGCAAAAACAGAAAAAGAAAGTTGCAGGAATCTTTTCTGAGACATATAAAGATTTCCTGGCCCTTCCTTCTTAAACTAATATTCCGATATTCAGTTCAGACGATTTTTCTTCATCTACATTATATACCAAAGGCTTAATCTGCATCTATCTGTCTAATTCTTTCTTACTCTCAAATTCATCGGTTTCTCACAAGCAGAAACAAATCTGATAGCCAAGAAATACTTTTTATAGAACCCTACATTTTACCCCCTAACAGTAACAACAAAAAACTTATTTCACTGGTGAGGACCAATTTAAAACATTATTTTATCTAGTATGGCTGCCACCATAATCACCAACGTGGTTAACTTGCAGAGGACTTAATTTGTACTTAGCCATTCCTAAAAAAAGATGAAATGTTTCCTTAGGAACACCCCTAGCGGATGCTTTTAAACTTATTGATGCATACATGGCTATTAAAAAACTGAGATTTTCCCAATGTTCGATTTCTCATACTTGAAAAAATTAGTTTTATCCAGTTCTATCAATTACTTGCTAATGGCACTTGAATTCAGTTTTAATTGCAGCTAGCATTAGGATAAAAATCTTTAGACTATAAACATAATACTAAGGTAACTAAATCTCATGTTTCACTAGTATGGGAGTAATTAGACAAGAAAAATATTTGTGAGTCAAGTTCACATCCATCCTCAAATATGTATAGTATTTCTACTCTGTGCAAAAGGTTATGAGGTTATGACAGGTAATAAGCATCTTAAAGCACAACATACTGAATCCTACAATATTCCACATATTAAGGTCTTAACTGCTCTCCCATTAATATAACTACATTTAAAAAATATCATTTTGGGGGGCTGGCCCCGTGGCCGAGTGGTTAAGTTCGCGCGCTCCGCTGCAGGCGGCCCAGTGTTTCGTCGGTTCGAATCCTGGGCGCGGACATGGCACTGCTCGTCAGACCACGCTGAGGCAGCGTCCCACATACCACAACTAGAGGAACCCACAACGAAGAATACACAACTATGTACCGGGGGGCTTTGGGGAGAAAAAGGAAAAAATAAAATCTTTAAAAAAAAAAAAAAAAAAAATATCATTTTGGGGCCGGCCCCATGGCCGAGTGGTTAAGGTCATGTGCTCTGCTATGGCGGCCCAGGGTTTCGCTGGTTCGGATCCTGGATGCAGACATGGCACCACTCATCAGGTGACGTTGAGGTGGCGTGCCATGTACCACAACTGGAAGGACCCACAACTAAAATATACAACTATATACTGGGGGATTTGGGGAGAAAAAGCAGAAAGAAAAAAAAAGGGAAGATTGGCAACAGTTGTTAGCTCAGGTGCCAATCTTTAAAAAAAAAAAAAGAAAAAAAATATCATTTAGGAGACTGTACCACTATTTCCTACACTAATACTTAGCTAAGCAGTTTTTTATCTGATATATTAAAGGTACTACAGAACCTGCACTATTTTTTTGCTACAGTTCAATCTATAACTGACATTTATTATAAAATACATCTATAAAGGGAGAAATTTACAAGCACCCCAAGCAAAAGTATATAGAAAGATCTTACTTAAAAGAAATGAAATATTATTGATTTCCTATGTCTTTTGTGCTATATTTAACTTAATTTTAAAAGACTCTTCACTAGAGATAAACTGAACTGTATACCTGAATGCTAACGTCAGCTATATTTCTAGAATAAAAATGCAAAACTTTACACCACAATTCCAGATGTTAATGGAAGAGAAGGTGAATTATATTAAGCACTATCTGTTACACGGCCTCTTGCAAATTGATCTGCAGTCATGAAGCCCAACATTTAGCCTATCCCTCCCTATAACCCAAGAATGTGAATAATTCACTAAATTTTAAAAAAAAGGTCTTATGTAGTCAGGTTTTTTGAAACATACTGTTTCATATTACAAGATAACATGAAAATAGAACTTACCATATTATCATAATGTCTCATAAGGTGGGTAATAAATCAAAAGGGAAACATAACAAGTAGTCTAATATTTCAATGATAACATGAAATGATGGATGGACAACAGACTACAGGTACATATCCAGGCACACAGATGTCCATATTTGAAGATAACAGCACCAAAAGCAATATGCTGCTCTCTGTGACTGCGGCCAGCTGACAGGATCCAGGCAGTCCTTGCATCACAGGTTAAAGCAATGCTTTCAAACTCTTCTGCTGAGGCCCCACATCCAGGGCTGAAACCTGACACTTTTGTTGAGATTCAACTACTCCACTTTTAGGGCCGCAAATCTACTAATGTTTCCAACCTTAGCTTTGTTATAAGACACCGTTTGAAGTTATATGTCTGAGGTTCTTTTAAAACTTAGTTTCTCCTCGTAGCTTCAGCTAACAAATTCCAGCCACTGGAACAGCCATTCGGCTGTCACTCCTCTTGTGCACTTGTCCAACTCAGCAGATATTTGCAACAATGAATGATGATCTGCCCGCCCTGCGCAGGAAAGCACTATTCTAAAAGGAAAGCCACGCAGAACAATGGTCTTCTCCAGAAGCAAAACAGAAGTGAGGAGAGAATTCTAAGACTGATCTTTCTTTTTGCGTAGAAAAACTCAAAGAAACAGTCTCTTAAATTTTAACCCCTTTTCTTAAAGGCCTCTTCAGTTAAATTCATGGACATTTCTCCCTCAATGAAGCAGATGTGTTGATCAAGAAAGGGCTAAGGGCAAAGAAGCTCAATTCACACACAGAGTTCCATTCTCTCTGATCTTTTCACCCTTCAAAAAAGAAGGCTTGAGAAGGAATGGCTTCAAGCTGAGTTCTTGTCTGCTCTACTGTGAAAAAGATAAAGCCTTTTCTGAAGAGATATAGCTAGATGAAATAACCTCTAAAAATATCACTGTGGTGAATAAGGGCACAGAATAAAAACAAATCCTAAGTTTTCTTTTTTAGTACGCAATAACACCAATAATATAAAAAGGAGCTCTCAGTGATGGTATATAAATAGCTCTGGCTGGAACAAAATAGCTTTGCCTCAGCTTCTCCAGAGCTGAACCAATAAACTATCACGATTAAATTTCCACAGTTCAAAAGCAAGTCCATTTAAACAAAAGAGGCCCTTACTTCTGCAAC